TTTGAGGCCAGCCTAGTCTAACATGAGTACCAGGAAAGCCAAAGTTACACAGAGAAATCAAATCCTGTCTCGAAAACACAAACAACACCAGCAAAAAGAGTTCAAGGCTTTATGGCAAGTTCTAGGCCAGTCTCAGAAAAATAGATAAATAACAAATAAGCCTCTGCTTGTTGGTGCTTTCTGCATCCTAGAAATAAGGAAGTGGGGCAGCCGCGCACTCAGCCCTTGGAAACAGCAGGAGAAAAAAGCAGACCAGGTAGGCTTCTGTTGCAGTAGAGGCATAGTAAGCAACCATTCGCCTTCAGCTCCTGCCATCTAAGTGTTCTCTTTATCCTCAGTAAAGACCCTGCCGTTTAATGCCATGACACTTACAAGAACCATGACAATGGCTGGAAAAGACTATAAGAGGATCAGAGAGAAAGAGCACCCACTTCTTAGAAAATTCTCAACTTAATTCTCAGACTGGGAAAGAAGGGAGGGAGGGAGGGAGGGAGGGAGGGAGAGAGGGAGGAAGGAAGGAAGGAAGGAAGGAACCAGGTGGTGGTGGTGCACACCTTTAATCCCAGCAGAGGATTAAAGGCAGAGGCAGGAGGATTTCTTTGAGTTCAAGGCCAGCCTGGTCTACAAGAGATAGTTCCAGGACAGGCTCCAAAGCTACACAGAGAAAATCTGTTTTGAAAAATCGAAAAAAAAAAAGAAAGAAAGAAAGAAAGAAAGAAAGAAAGAAAGAAAGAAAGAAAGAAAGAACAGCAGGATAAGAAGATAGACATTGCTATCAGTGCTTAGACATCCCCCTCCTCAAATACCCCCTGAACTCTACCTGAGCCGTATCGCTGACCTCCAGCTGCAAGGCTGAGAAGCATTTGAGCTCTATTCAGGCTTCCCTTAGTCTCTGGCTAAGAACAGAACCTTCTTTGCTGCTTCACAGTGGCTGATTTTATTTGTTTGCCTTACAATCCCACGAAGGAAAAGGGACACAGTGCAGTCAAATCCTCAGAGGGCGGACGAGGTGGCTCTCGTCTCTCTGGATAAACTATTCAACAAGAGAGCAGTACATACCTATGCTAAATCTTCTGCCCTGCTCCCCCCAGCCCCATGGATCTAGGGGTGTCTGAGTAAAGCTCCCAGACCTGTCCTGTGACCCCTTCCTTCTTACTCACAGGGACACTCTGTGCCTGCTTCTGGGCCACATCACCCTACTTTGTGCCACAATGCCATCACCTGGCCGCGGGTTAGATGCTTTCTGGCTAGCCAGCTGCTTTAGTATTCTCACCAGTATTGCAGAGGACCCACCTCAGGTGATGGAACCTTCACAACCTCATACCTGGCAGCAAGGCTGTCACGGGCTGCGTGCTGCTTGCTTCCTATAGCCTTGCATGACTTCCTTGGAGGCTCCAGGCTTCACCCGGTCCACTGAGCCCTAATGGGGAAAGGGTTTCATCTGGGTCTTTTTGTTTTGTTTTTTGAGACAGGGTATCTTTGTGTAAGAGAAAGACAAGGTTTCTCTCTCTGGCTGTCCTGGAACTCACTCTATATACCAGACTGGCCTCAAATTCAGAGATCCTCCTGTCTCTACCTCCCAAGTGCTGGGATTAAAGGCATGCATCACCACCAACCAGCTTCCTTTGGGTCTTGAAGGATACTTGAGGGCAACCTCTCACCTCTAGGCAGCTCCCCACCCCCCACCCTGAAGAGTGTTTGTAGGGTAAAGACTGTCCCCCAATCCCACGGGAACTTTATGCCTCTGAACACTTAGTCCTTGTATCAAAGTGCACTCGATGGTCACCTGAACAAGCAGAAGGGCACTCAGGGTAACACCCTCTCGCTCGCAGCAGATGCTGCAGCTGGGGCCTAGACTTTGAGATGGTTGGGAGTCTGACAGAAAGGAGTTCCCAGATGTGCAGAGAGGCCAGGAAAAGGCCCAAGCCTGCTCTGAAGCAGGAGTCACAGAGGCAGGAGTGGCAGGAGGCAGGACTTGCCGCACAAGTCAGCCCAGCAGGGCACACGTCTCCTAGGACTTCTCACCTGCCCTTACATTCCAGCAGAAGAAGGTTTTCGATACGAAAAAGAAATGAGTGTCTTCCCCCCCTCCCAAGATAAGGTCTCACTATGTAGCTCAACAGGCTGGCCTCGAACTCAGAGATTCACTTGTTTCTGCCTCCTGAATGCCCAACTTGCCGTCAATATCAAGAGTTCCTATGGCCCAGGATCTCTACACACGAGCAGACCCTATATGTGTAGTCCTCAACCCTCCCCGGCCCTTGCCACATGGGCACTTGCTGATAGATCTGATGTCCTAGCATACCATGTCCAGGGCTCAGGTGTGTAAGCCTCACAAACAGGACCTTAGACGTGTCTATGAAGGAGACTGAGAGAATGCTCCACAGGACAGGACGGGGCACTGGGCCTCCCTCACCATGCTGTTATTGGTCTTGCTTAAGGACATCCTGGAGCCTCCAGTGCTCTGTCTCAAGTGTCAAAACCTGTCCATTGTAGAGCTGATCTTGTCCAGGTGGCCAGGCCCAGATGTCAGTCCTGAAGGATGCTACAGAGGGGCAGGGCCTAGTCACTGTGGCAGGAAGGCCCTGGGGGGCAAACGTACGTACCAGTATACCTGCTAAGCACATAGGATCTAGGTTGTTGCTCAGCAACAGGCACTTTGGCAGGGTAGCTCCACATTAGGGCCTGGTCTAGGAATGTCAGCTCCAGAGCACGGCTTTTGGCCAAGTACTGCCTGTCGTTACATCTGCCTATCTAGGCTTGAATGCCGATTCCATGTGGATCCTGAGCAGTCTCACAGGCTCTTCTGGAAACCAGACATTCTGCTCACTCACAAGCATGCCTCTCTGGACACAGGTCATAGAATTCCTTAGGTATGCTTCCTCCCAGCCATGTTGAATCATCTGTCAGGCACGGTGTACAGCACCACCCTTGGATACACTGCACACACAACAGCCTTGCTGCTCGTGTCAGACATGGAGCCTTGGCTTCCTCCTCCACGTGTTCGTGAACCTGAAAAGAGGGAACCTCAATTGAGGAATTGCTTGTATCAGATTGGCCTGTGGGCATGTCTGTGGGGCATTTCTTGATTCTCATTGATGTGGGGAGGGGCGTAGCCCAATGTGTGAGGTGACTTTTCAGGCCAGGTGGGCCTGGGTTGTATAAGAAAGGTAGCTTAAAAAGACAGTAAGCAGTGTTCCTTCATGGTCTCTACTTCAGTTCCTGTCTTGACTTCCCAGGACTGTAACCTGTGTAAGTATTATCAAATATTATTCTTTTCTATCAAATACTATAAAATTTGTGTTTAGGATGAAAAACTCAATTTTGCTTCTTCTTCTTCTTCTTTTTTTTTTCCTAGACAGGGCTTCTCTGTGTAATAGCCCAGGCTGTTCTGATCCTTCTCAGTCAGGGATCCCTTTCCCCTTCCCCCATTTCTCGTACGTTGGTTCTTTTCAGACCAGCCAGTTGAATAATATTGTGAGGTCAGACACAGCCAACAGGGAAAAGACACAGCCACCATCTGAGTTAGAATAAAAACCAAATGCACTTTCTGTCTTGGTGTTCACTCCTCGAGTACACTCTCCTGGTCAAGAGTAAAATTTGCCTTGTCCAGACACTTCATTTGGAATGGTGGTGTCTTTATTTACCACCCAAAACTTACTTCTAACACCTGCGAGTTGAATTAAATCCTTTCCTCCTCAAGACTCAAGCCTATTGCTGGCGCTGCCATTTCTGGTGTCTCAAGATTGCTTTGGGGACATCACAAAGGAGCTGTGTGAGCATGTGGATTTCTGGCCATGTTCAATCTGGCCCCTACACCTTGGTACTTCATGTCAACAGATGGGTTTGTAGGGATGAGCAGTCTACAGATCCAGAAGGCTCTCCTCGTGACTAGGTCCAACTTGTGGGCTAACTCTGGTCTGCGAATCTCCAAACATCACCACACAGACAGCACAGGACCCTGGGCTCTGGGCTCCTTTTCCTTGGCCCCACCAGGAACCCCATACTCATGCGGTACAACATAAGGAACAATTGCTTTAGATACAGTGTGGAGGGGTTGGAGAGAGGGCACAGTGGTTAAGAGCACTGGCTACTCTTTCAGAGTATTCCGGCTCAATTTCCAGCACCCATAAGGCAGCTCACAAATGTAATTCCAGTTCCAGGGGACCTGACACCCATGGTAAAAACACCAATGCATATATATATATATATATATATATATATATACACATATACATATATATATGTGTGTGTATACATTGTGTATATATATACATATATTCTATCTATCTATCTATCTATCATCTATCTATCTATCTATCTATCTATCTATCTATCTATCTATCTATCTATCTATCTATCTACACAATCTGGCCTTTCCTAAGAAGCACAACATCAAGTTTCCATGGCTCAGGAAGGGACATTCCATCATTCTCCTGGGGCTCAACCAAAACTCCAGGGACCGAGGCGTCTTTGGAACCTCCAAAACACGCAAAGAAGACCCGTTTACATACGACCCACCTCCGGGCCCCTTATCCAGTCGGCCAGCTGGCCTGACGGGTCTTCTACCCCAGACAAGTATAGCAGGGCTCAATTGCGGGCAAAGGCCCAAGGCGCGGTAGCCATGTGGCCAACTCAACGTCTGCCCAGCCCGCTGCGCTCAAGTGATGTGTGCCTGAGGGTCACAAGCTTATCCCGGCTTCGAACAAACACTCAGGGACCCGTAGCGTTTCCTTCCTAGCCACTTGCGTACGCCCATCCTTTCTCCGCAGTCTTCGCGCACGCGCAGGCTGCATCTGCAGGCAGGTTCCGACCCCCAACTTGGCACTTCCTGCAAGGCGAGCCCCGCCCTCCACACCTCGCGCACGCTCATTCCACTCCCGCGGCTGACGAGCCCCGCCCCGCCCCGCCCCGCCCCATCCCGCCCCTCCGCTCACTTAACCGGGTTTGCAGCTATGGCTTCCGAGCGGCTGCCCAGCAGGCCTGCCTGTCTCCTGGTGGCCAGCGGCGCTTCTGAAGGTGAGGCGCGCAGGGCAGCTGTGTGGCGCAGTGGCCTGCAGTTCTGACTCCAGGTCAACGTTTGTGCCTGCAGAGTTGGGATCCTGGGACCCCGCACCTGTTTCCCCGGGCCAGGCCTGTGTTGTCTGCCCGCAGGCAGGGTGGCCAGCGACTGCAATTAACCCTGCCCCCAGGTCAGCCGCAGGGGCTCGGTACTCTGCCCACCGTTCCTGCCTTTCCGTCCCCCTGATCCTGGGCCTATCTTCACGCGGCTCCAGGAAGCGATCCTGAAAGGGGTTGCTCGAAAGAGCTGCACATAAGGGACCCGCACACAGAAGGGGGTCTGCTGGGTATGGGTTTCCAGCTGCCCGGTGTGTGTCTAGGAAGCTGGGTACATGATTACTTCACGGGTCTTTAGGGAACTACGGAGTGATGGGGCCCAGAGCTGCGGCCCAGGGTTTTCCTATAGAGCTATATAGAGCGTCTTAAACGAGCATGAGCCTGAGGGTACCGCGGGGTCCTGGATGATGAACCCCTGGGTTCCACTAAACTTCCTTGGTGGAAATGGGTGGGCCCTGAGGGTGCTCTCCGCCCTGGAAGAGAGGGTTGGTAGAATCCACAGCTGCTCCTAGGAAGGCTTTACTTGAGAGAGTTTGGGAGTGAGGGATCGAGGAGCTGGTGGGGGTAATCTGGGGTAGATCCCTGAAAATGTTGTAAATCGTAAAAGTAAAGAAACTGGGCCTAGTGGTGCGTGTCTTTAATCCCAACACTCAGGAGGCAGGAGCAGATGGATCTCGGAGTTTGAGGCCAGTCTAGAACTTACATAGCCAGATCCAGGTCAGCAGGGCTCAATAGTGAGATTTTGACTCAAAAACTAAATCATAACAAAACCCACAAGCCAAAAGCCTAGCATAGGAGTTGGAGGCAGGAGGATAAAGAGGTTGGTTAATGGCTACGTGAGATGCTGTCTCAAAAAGAAGGAGGATGGAAAGTTGAAGCTAAAGGGTTGTGCACTTAACTTAAACCAGCACAGACCGCTGCACTTGAGGTGATGTGAGCCTCCACTCCCTAGTGAGGGGAGGCTAGGCTGTACCTAAAAATCGTCTGAAGTCTTGTTTTTTCTTTCTTTCTTTTTAAAGTTGATTTGTTTTAAGCTTGGGTGCTCTGCCTCCCGGGTACTGGGAGTAAAGGCCTGTGCACCCGGCGTCTGGACTCAAATGAACTAAGCAAGCCCTTTTCCTTGTTGAAGGACTCTTGATGGGCAGAAGAGTGCTGAGTGCATAGTGGGGTCGGACTCTCATGCTCTTAGGAAGAGGGGACCCGCCAGGTGTCCTGAGTGTGGGGAGCCCCCAAACACCACCTTCTCCTGCTTCTTCTATGACATGTTCACTGTTGCTCTCCCCATGCTATAGGGACCTTGGCTATTGGTGGGTCTGAGAGATGACCCAAATGTTTGCCTTTGGAAGTGCCTGTAGGGGGGAAAGGATGGGATGCGGCCAAGGGTGTAGGGGTGTTGGTAGACAGTTAAGGCGGGCTGGGGGCCTGAAGGCAGAGAGCCTATTCTGGGAGGCTGCAGAACCGCTGGAACCTGCAGGTCGTTCTGGGGCCAGAAGCCAAACCTGGCTAAGCATTAGGCCTGCTGTGGACCTCTGAGTTACATATTCCTGAACCTGAAATGTTGCTGTCCTGCCCGCAGGGCGTGGACCCTGGGTGGGCGGAATGGACTGCTCCTAAGGCTGGTTTTGGGACCAGGATAGTCCCCAGGAGCATTGGAGCAGTCTTTGAGGAATGGGGGTGGGCCAGCTGGCCCTGTCATGCCCTTGCAGTTCTGAAACCCTCTCTTGCAGGTGTGTCAGCCCAGTCCTTCTTCCACTGCTTTACATTGGCCAGTGCTGCCTTCAACCTGCAGGTGGCCACCCCTGGGGTGAGTACCGTCACTTTCTCCAGGGAACCCCTGAGGTCCTCTTTTCTTAGGCCGAGGCTAGGAGAGTGTCGAGAGTCCTCTGTAGTTGATAGGGCCAGGAAGGAGCTACCTTCAGGTAAGGGGATCTACAACCAAACTTGGTGGTATCCTTAAGTCATGGTTCCCGTTCATTGGACTATGACTTTCCTGTGTCAAGGGAGCTTTTTTCCACTGTGGCCTGCACTTTTGCAGGTCTATAAGGGAAAGATAAGACTTGGTCCTAGTGTGCGGGTCCTGCACAGATCCTCCTAATAGGAGAGATCCTTGATTCTTGCACTGTGGCCCTGGAAACATCTAGTCATAAATGGATCACAGCAAATGTGTGTTGAGTATTTGCAAGTTTCGAAGTCACAAGGTGGGTGGGACATTTGCTGCTGCTTTATAACCAGGAGTCTGGGGACCATGGGTACTTGATTTTTCTTTCTCTTGTCACTGGAGGCTCACTGCCCAAGCCAACCAGTAAAAGTGGCTGTCCAGGCAGGTGTGTGTGCCCCAGGGGCTGTTTTGAAATCGGTTAGCTTTCCAAGTTCTCTGTCTTTCGAATGTGGGGGAAGATCCTGGTGCTGACCCTCTGCTTCTACAGGGAAAGGCCATGGACTTTGTGGATGTGACCGAGAGCAATGCACGCTGGGTACAAGACTTCCGTCTCAAAGCTTATGCCAGCCCCGCTAAGCTTGAGTCCATAGATGGTAGGTTGGGAAAGTGACAAGTCGCTAGTGGGTCCCTGGAGGGCCTCTATGTCTGGCCGTGCCCTTATTTGACCTGTGGTGTCTTCCCAGGTGCCCGGTACCATGCTCTCCTGATTCCCAGCTGTCCTGGCGCCCTGACTGACCTTGCCAGCAGTGGGTCCCTGGCTCGGATACTGCAGCACTTCCGCTCAGAGAGCAGTGGGTGACAAGAAACTGGAGAACAGGCTGGCAAGCAGACACCTGGGTGGGGAGTAGGAGGGAGTGATCAAAACAGTGGGTGACAGGGAACTAGGGACTAGGTTCGGAAGGCAGATATGGAGTGGATATTGAGTACAGGGTTTAGGATTCAGGACTGGGCATGCCTGGTGATTGCATCAGCCCATCAGATGAGAGTGGAGAGCCTCAGTGACTCTGACTTGCACACAGGTGAGTTTGCTCTGTGTCCACGTGCACAAAGAGTGATCTCACTTAACATAATGTGTGCACTGCTAGTCTCTGCTGTGTGAGCTTCTGACAGCCAAGAGAGGGCTGGTGACCGTGACCTCTTAGCCCTTTTCATGGTAGGCTAATCAGGGTGCTGTCTAGAGGCAACATCTGTCGTGATAAGCACATCTGTAGGCTGGGGCAGGATGCTCATCAGAGACCAGATGCAGGCTCCATCAGTGTCCTTTGTGGTCAGAGCTGGCCTTCTGGGCTTAGACAAGAAGCTGTTTTTCCCAGCTACCTCAACCATGGGAATACATTGGCCATTAAGTTGTCTTTGGGGAGCCAGGTGGTGGTGGTACACACCTTTAATCCCAGAAGGCAGAGGCAGGCAGATCTCTGTGAGTTTGAGGCCAGCCTGGTCTACAAGAGCTAATTCCAGGACAGGTTCCAAAGCTACAGAGAAACCCTGTCTTGAAAAACCAAAAAAAAAAAAAAGGTTGTCTTTGGGGAGGAGCCAGGGTAGCCCCATTCCAGAGCACGATAGCCCCTAAGAGTACCACCCCCAGCTACACAGTGGCTTCTCTGCAGTTTGGTACGTGAACTGGGAGTTCTGGATGCTTTCACATGTCAAAACTGCAACAGCGTGAGCTCTGAGTAAACTCTAGTCTTGAAGCATCCACTTTGTGGGAGGGGACACTTGGGTAGGGACCCGACCCAGGATGGCATCCAGGGCCTCAGAGTACCTTGTCACTTTTAGAACCCATCTGTGCCATTGGCCATGGTGTCGCTGCTCTGTGCTGTGCTACCAATGAAGACAGGTCCTGGGTGTTCCAAGGCTACAGCCTGACAGGGGTGAGTATTTCATGGTCAAGCCAGTGTCCTGTTCCAGTTCCCTCCTGTCTCCTTACCCCTCTCTGAACCAGAAAGAGATTCCTACAGGCACTGTGACCTGCCGGTCCCCATACTGCTAGAGCAGATTCTCTCCTTGTCCACGTGGTGTGTGCACAGCCTGAGACCCTCTAGGAAGAGCATCATGGAACTCATGAAGGGACTCCTTCCAAAGGATACTAGTCCATCTCATTTTGGTCACACTTATGTCTTGATGCTGGGGGAGCCAGGCACTCTAAGCCATAATGGCTTAGTCTCCAAAAAGATGACTGACTTTTGCCTTTGCCTGTCTCCCCCATGTGGTAGCTGAGGTTGCTGCTTTGATTTGCCCTGCCTGGCCCCTGAGGAAAATAGGGCACTGGGCAGGTTAGAGCCACTAGCTGGTCTGACTCCGGCCCTGTTCTTGCAGCCTTCTGTGTACGAGCTCATCAGGGCACCTGACTTTGCCCGCCTGCCGCTGGTTGTGGAGGACTTTGTGAAGGACTCTGGCGCTGGCTTCAGTGGTGAGCCCAAGTTGGTGCCCCTGCACTTAGATTTGTGGGGCTGCCTGCTGTGTCTTGGGTTGGTGTTTTAGGTCCTGCAAACCCCTGTGCTTCACAGACTGGCTTTCCTGCTGACCCCTGTTGTTCGCAGCTCCTCAGTGGGTGGGAGTGGGACTGGGCCTAGGCTTTGTGGCCTAAAGTTTGTGTCCTCTGCCGTAGCCAGTGAGCCCGACGCTGTACATGTGGTGCTGGACCGCCACCTAGTCACTGGTCAGAATACAAACTCCACTGTTCCCGCTGTCCAGAACCTGCTCTTCCTCTGTGGCAGCCGGTGAGGCTCCTGGGAAGGGGTTTGGGTGGATTCCTGCTTTGTGACTGGCTCCCTCTGCTGGACAGTTTTGTCTGCAACGCCCTGCCTGCTGGTGCTGAGTCTGGACCATGTGTTCATCCTATAGGAAGTAATTTGAATGCTGTCCTTGATCCTGGTGGCCTAGAGACAACAGCTGAACTCACTGTGGCCTCTTCTATTGGTCCTTACCTGACAGGGCCCTCAAGCCTCCGTTTGTACCCTGTGGAATGCTGGAGGCCTCCAAAAATTAAGACTTGGAGAGTATCAGTTCTCGTGTAGACTGAACACTCCTCCTCTATCCCCAGTACACAGTGGGGAGAGTCTTGGCTGGCCAGGCAGTCTCTGAGAACTGCAAAGTGAACACTCCAAGAAGAACTCTCCATGGGAGAGTCAGCTGTGGGGTCTCAGGATGGGATGCTGCTCTTCTATGGCCCTTTGGCTATTCTCATCCCTTTAGCTGTTGGTGAGAACCATGGGGAAAGGACCAAAAGACTGGAACTTGCTCTGAATTCACCTTGCCAGAGGTGAACAGTGTATGTTTTCTTAGCCCTAAGCAGGCAGTATTCGTGCTGAAGAAGACTGCCCATGTTTAAATCTTGCAATCTTGCCTATGTTTTTCTTTCTTTCTTTCTTTTTTCTTTTTTTTTTTTTTTTGAGATAGTGTTTCTCTGTAACTGTGGAGCCTGACCTAGAACCCACTCTTGAGGCAGCACAGGCTGGCCTCAGATTCAGAGGTCTGCCTGCCTCTGACTCCCGAGTGCTGAGATTAAAGGCGTGTGCCACCACCATCCAGCTGGCCTGTGGTTTTTAATGCAATACAGGCCCCAGCTCAGCCTGGCATGGTCCTAGGTCCTTGGAGTGGACACAGTGATGTCACCCTGCCCCATATGGCGTAGAAATTGCCCCTGGCTTACAGAAGCCTCAGGCCAGGTATTCCATCTGTTCCTAGAAGGAAATGTCCATAGATGGGTTTGGGCTATATGGAGTAGGAAGATCCATGAGTCCTGCCTTCCAGACCCTGCTTTTGCTGAGGACCTGATATGGCCATGTGGCCATCTCCCTCTTGGACATGCCTGGTTGCTGTCAATCCTGGGGCACCTGGCCTGGACGGCAGCTTCCAGTCAGTAGCCTTCTAGCCTTAGAATAGAGCCTTCCAAGTAACGTGGACCTCTTCACTTCCCTCTCCACTTAACTTTTGCCCATCCCACGCTCCAGAGTAGCACCAGTGCCAGAGACCTGGAGGAATACCTTTTGGCGGTTAATAACCTTTAATGAGGGATGTCCAGAATAAGTGGAAGAAAGCAGCAGGAGAGCCCACCTGTCCTGGATTCCTCCCTGGCCTTGCACTGCCCTCATCTGCCATGAACGACAGATAACTAGTGTAACGATAGATATTCCTGGACAAAGCCTTAAAATCTGAGGCCGTGCCTTAGGTTTGGCTGGTTCAGTCATAGGCTGGGTGATCTGTAAACAACATATTTCACACACATTTTGAAGCTTGAAGTCCAAGTATAGTGTTCTAGGTATGTCTGGTAAGGGTTTCCTGGCTCAGATCTCTTTGCTTCTTACCGGGTCGGAAGAGGTAGGTGCTTTTCGGAACCTTTTCAGAAGTCACTGATTGCTTCATGAAGCCAAAGTCCCATTTAACACCATCACCTCAGAGACGATCTTTTAGCATGAATTAGGGGACAGCTTCAGACACTGGGAGGTGATACCATGCTAATGGAGTTTGAGAGTTTCTAATTGGCTGGCTCTCTATGAATGTCATGTTTGCGCTCTCTCTCTCTCTCTCTCTCTCTCTCTCTCTCTCTCGACAGGGTTTCTCTGTGTTGCCTTGTCTATCCTCAAACTCAGCTTTTCATCAGAGCTTCCACCTGCCTCTGCCTCCTGAATGCCAGGACTAAAAGCATGGGCCGCCACCACTCAGCTTTTATTTTGGATGAAGACAGGGGTTCTAAGTAGTCCCAGAACTCACTAAGTAGATCAGGTTGTCCTCAGATGTGGACAACCTAGTTGCTGCCCTCCAGGTACCAAGATTATAGGCATATGCTTCCGTGCCCTTTCAAAGCTGGTGTTGTATACTACGCAGTCCCCATAAGGTGGTACCAGTGCCCTTTAGAACCTGGCTACACCAGGAAGCCTAGATGGGAGAAATAAACTGCTGGACTTACTCTTGGGCAGTAGGCAAGCCTGGCTCTGAACATTTTGTTCAGCTGCTGCCTCCCAGGAGCAGAGTCCACCATTGTCTTCCGACTCTGCTAGCGCACCCTATAAGACCAGGCAGGGACAGGGACACCAGGTACAGAGGGAGTTACTCTATAATCTTGCCATCAAAAGTCAAAGACCTGCCATCTCACGCCCCAGCTGTGGTCCAGTGGGGCTTAGAAGATGAGGGTGAGGGCCACAGTTGCCTGGATCATGCTGATAGCCTGGGGTCCATCTCCAAGGCTCCGCCTCAGTCACACCGGGACCACTGGTACTGAAGTGGATGGCGACAAAGATGGTAAAATGAAGCACAACATAGGAAAAGCCGTTGCTTTAATGAATTAGATAAAATTTCACATAAAATCAGAAACCTATGATCCATCCCTTCTCCAATCACTGAAAAATGCAAGATTCATCACAAGCCATGTGTAATCAGGACCCAGTTCAGCAGCAGTGCAGGTCTGGGGTCCAGCCTCAGGCGCTGCGCTACTTTCCATTCTCGGCACTGAACATTCGTTCCTGGAAGGGACCAGAGGTGGAGTCATGTCAGCCCCTCACTCTGCCTGGACTGCCCAGATACGACCCACCAAGGTCCCAAGATGGCTTCAGCAACCAGCTGGGACCTATGGTCTCCCAGAAAAATAAATAAACCTACACACACATATTTACCTATCTGTATTTGTGTGTGTGTGTGTGTGTATCTATATAGATAAATAGTTTTTTGGTTGTTTTTGCGTTTCTCTGTGTATCCTTGGATGTTTTGGAACTTGCTCCATAGACCAGGCTGGCTTTGAACTCACAGAAATCCATCTGCCTAGGTCTCCCAAGTGCTAGGATTAAAGGCATGTGCCATCTCTACCTGGCCCTAGTTTTGTTTCTTGAGATAGCCTCTGTCTCTTAAGTGCTTGAACTAAAGGCTTGTACTAGCATTCCTGGCCCAGGCTATTGAATCTGTGATCCTCTTGCCTCACTCTCCAGAATGAGACTATAGGTGTGTGCTAACTATGCCAGGCTCCTGCAGTAAGTTTCACCTCTGCTCCAACTTTGCCCCTGGGTGAAGGAGAAAAGGCCCAACCCACACAGGAACTCACTGTGAGCATCCGCTCTAACTTAATGGCATCAGCAGCAAACTTCCGGATCCCGTCGGAGAGCTTCTCCACAGCCATTTGGTCCTCATTGTGAAGCCAACGGAAGGCCTTCTCGTCCAGATGTATCTTCTCCAAGTCACTGGTCTGGGCTGGAGGATACCACAGCTCTCCATGCCTGCCTTACCCTTCGGCTCATAACTGTCCCTCAGCCTAGGCTGAGTATCTCCCATCAGGGTCAGGCCTTAGCTCCGCCCACACAGAGGTCCTTATGGGCCCCTTGGCCTTACCCGCTTTGATGGAAAGCACAGGTGCCAGCTTGGTGTTATCCTTGAGCAGCTCCCCCAGGAGCTTGGGCGAGATGGTGAGGAAATCACAGCCTGCCAGTGCTTTGATTTCACCAGTGTTACGGAAGGAGGCGCCCATGACAATGGTCTTGTAGCCAAACTTCTTGTAGTAGTTATAGATTTTGGTGACACTCTTTACCCCTGGAGGAGACACAGGCATGTTCCCTAGAGCCACCCTGAGCTGTTGTCTGACCCCACCCTGATCTAGTCTCCAGTCCTGCTCGTCAACACAGCAGTTCCCCTGCCCCATGATCTTAAAATGTAGCTCACCAGGGTCCTCCTGGGGTTCATAGGATTTTTTGTCTGTGTTTGCCACATGCCAGTCAAGGATGCGCCCCACAAAGGGAGAGATGAGCGTCACACCCGCTTCAGCGCAGGCCACAGCCTGGGCGAAGGAGAAAAGCAGCGTCATGTTGCAGTGGATGCCATGCTGCTCCTCCAGCTGCCTGTGGACAAGATGGCAGGAGCAATGCTGAGTGTCACCTCAGGCTGAGCTCTGGTACCTGCTGCTCCCCAAGAGTCTTCAACTTCTTAACAGCAGGGGAGGAGCAGGGTTGTACATTAAGAACAAGCTTGAGCAGGGCGGTGGTGGTGGCACATGCCTTTAATCCCAGCACTCCCAAGGCAGAGGCAGGAGGATCTCTATGAGCTCAAGGCCAGCCTGGTCTACAGAGTTCCACGACAGTCAAGGCTGTTACACTAAGAAACCCTGCCTCAAAAATAAATAAAAGAAACAGAGTTTAAAGTGGCTTTAAAATGAAGCCACGTAAAGATGGAAAATCCAGAGTCTGGATACTGTATGTTACTGTGTTGTCTTTGAATTGTTCAATGGCTCTGAGGAAGGAGCAACAGCTGCTAAAAGGCATTTTATCATAAATGCTGCTGGATTAATCCAACATATGTATTTTGAAAATGCCTTGACTTCAAAATTTAAGTCAAAAGATATGTTATTTTGGAGAAGAGGTTTTGCCTTTGTTTCCACAGGAAATGAGAGGCTGTATTCCGGGTTAAGAAAAATCAGATTTGATCAAGGAAGACCCCCCATGAAAAAAATCTCTGGAAGGAGTAGATGGCCCAGATGATCTAACTTTTCAGAGGACCTCTGTTGGAGTTTCCTCTGAGTTCTACATCCAGAACAGCCATAAGACTGTTGGTTGAGATGATCAAGCCTCATAGAATATTCCAGTCAGGACTTGACCATAATCCTAAATTTTCTTTAGGTCCCCATAAGATTATCAGCACCCTTAATCATCAGGAAGTAGCTTAGAAAACTATGTCCACATTCCTAAAAAAATGGATTATGGATATTTGATTTGTCTTTGTTTAGAGTGTTGGTTACAAATTGTTATAGATAATGGTCAAAAAAAAAAAGCTAAACAAAGATTAGATTCAGAGTTCTTGTTTTGGAAAAAAAAAAAAGACAATGATCTTGTATCCGTAAAGACTTGTCACTTGTATTGGTTTAATAAAACTCTGATTGGCCAGTAGCTAGGCAGTAAGTATAGGCAGGGTGACCAGAATAGGAGAATTCTGGGAAGAGGAAAGGCTTAGTCTGCAGTTGTCACCTAGATGTAAGAGGACACAAGATGAGAATGCCTCACTGATAAAAGGTACCAAGCCACATGGCTAACACAGTTAAGAATTATGGGTTAATTTAAGATGTAAGAGTTAATAAGAAGCCTGAGCTAATAGGCCAACCAGTTTATAATTAATATAAGCCTCTGTGTTTCTTTGGGACTGAACAGCTGCGGGACTGGGTGGGACAGAAACCTCTGTCAACGAAAACCTATAAAATGTATATAAGCCTCTGTTCATACCATTATTCTCAACAGACCCAAAGTGATAACAGACCCAATGCCCAACACGAGACAAAGCAAAGACACGATACACCCACTAATGGAAGAAAGTTCAGTCAGGAAACAAGGTATAGACACTAGAACACAAATGAGTCAGACATAATAGTTCATGCATGAG